GAGAAGAGCTATTGGAAGGAAGCTATTATGGGAAAAAGAATTAATTACACTTATAGTAGAAATAGAAGGTGTATTAAATACCCGAGCACTAACATATGTAAACTTCGAAGATTACGTGATAATACGACCGATTGATTTCATTTTACCTAATGCTTCTCTAGTAACTCAAATTCCTTATGACAATGATGAAGAAGAATACCATCTTCATAGATAAGTACCAAGGAAAAACTTGTTAGGTATTGGTCTAACACTCTCAAGACTTTAGACACATTCTGGGAAATATGGAAAAGGGAGTATTTAACTAGCCTCAGAGAGCTAACTCAAAGAGAACACAATTCCCCGAAAGGTGCAGAAGTAAGAAAACCTTATGAAAACGAAATCGTGTTGGTCAACGAACCAGAAATTCCTCGTGGTATGTGGAAATTAGCGAGAATAAAAGAAATTAAAAGGGGAAGCGATGGAGAGGCCAGGAACGCTATAATAGAAATGCCACATGGAAAACTGCTAAGTCGACCAATAAACGTACTGTACTCTCTAGAAATCAACGACAATTTGGATAATCAGCCACCTATATCTGAAGAATCAATACAAGAAGTTGGACAATAGGAACCAATCGCTTCAAGGACTAGGAGTGCAACAAATAAACGAACTATAGCAGAAACTATCTGTAAGTCAAATTGGACAATAAGCAGTTTGGTTTTGATTTCGATCATTTTTATACTATCAGTCCAAGCAAAACCAATGAAGGAGTGTGAATGGAGAGTTGGTATTCCTTTTAATATCCCACAAAGGTGGAATTGCGATGAAATTTGCAGAGCAAAACTTCACAATGAACAAAGTCATAGTGTACACACGAACCCACGTACGGATACCTGCTATCAAATGTAGCAATGTAACACGAACAGTAGTATGCACTAAAGCTTTTTTTAGATTCTCATTATCTGTAATCTCTGATCAAACAGTTACTTCACATTTCTGTAGAAATTTAGATCGTCAAAAGAAAACAGACGGAGAGGAATTGATTCAAGTATCACCTAATAAATGGATTACAAATAA